GGCGCTGAATGAATTTCCTTGAGCGGAGAAAGACTCACTGTTCAGCATCCTCTATTAATCTAATATCACTTGTCACTGAAACACAACCTGCATGTATAGAAGCGAATACAATGATATACAAATATGGAGTGAAAGCAAGAAGAAAAGTGCTGCAGAGGAAGGAAGGAGACTAAGAGCGATCGATACACTAGCAGAAAGAAGTCCACGGCGAGTGGAAAATGCAAACAGAAGCCAAATGAGAATAAATAAAGGACAGACAAAAATAGATGATTGGATCTAAAACATTTAAGTGCCCAGGAGATGCAGCGTACACACCGTCCCACACTCCAACAATGGCCAGAGCATCAGCTGGTCTCTGAGAGCGTCTGTCCTCTTGCTGAACTCACAAACACACACATGCATACAAACAAGCGCACACACTGGTAACACAGAGTTCAGGACAATCCCGTTGGGATGAGCTGTCATCTTCATGGTTACAGTCCAAGTTCAGAGTTAGGACATAAACGGCACACACACACAGCAGTGTCCACCGTGTTCATTGGTCAATGCACACACACTCACACAATTCATCCTCTCTCAAAGTCTCCCAGCACGTCTCCACGCTCTGCTTTTAGTTTGCCCGTCTGAGTTTCTGGTGCCAAAGCGCAGTCGGCAGATTCTGGCAGCCCTGGTACTCTCGCTGCATCTCGCTATCTGTTAGAGGTGGTGTGGCGTTGCACGGGGCGCCAGCCAAGGTCACGTTTAAAAGACCCGCCCATGGCTCCAGAAGGCGAAACATCCCAGCATCCTGACACATCACGAGAGGAGATTAGAAAAGTATTCAGAGGAGTAAACACTGAAACAAAAATTCACTCTAAAAAGTCACCTTTCCCAGGTGGTCCAGCAAGCAGGTGGCAGGACTGATTAAGGACCAGCTGCTGTCCTCCCAGCCTGGACTCAACCTGTGGTTCAGGTGGGCATAAGTCTGCCTGGCCGGGTTCTGGATTAGAACCACATTGAGGTGTTTCTGAGAGCCTTGCAGCCGCTTGGATAGGACACCGCTGTAGCTCTGATCCACAAACAGCAGGACACGAGTTGCCCTGCAGCCGGCCAGGTCGGCCAACAGCTCGTTGACTGAGTAGCGCTCTTTTAGATCTGCCT